TGGGGCGTCGCTCTTTCTTTTTGGTGTGGTTTTCATTTTCGATCCGCCCACTCAGTTTTACGACTGAAGAAAGGGCACGAATGGAAATTTTCCTGATTTTCTGAAGCTACTGCCTAGACTTTTTTGCAAAGGTTTTTGGAGTCGAGCATTTGTTTTCATTTCAATTTCAATCAGCCAATTTTTGAGAGGTGGCGGGAGTGGAAATTACTGTTTTAGGCGTAAGCCATAAAGTCGGCGTCATTTTCTTTGAATAATTTAGTTCTGGGCAGTCAGAATTCACATCTCTGTCCCTCAAAATCCTCTAACACTCGGTTTTAGCTTTTAATTTCAATTTTTTTTTAAATTTTAAGAATCCTGGCTTTGATCCAAGCTGCTGGACTTAGATAATTTACATTCATTCATACATTCTTATACACACTTCATTTAAAAATTCTATGCCAACAGCTCGACGTCCCTTTTTTCTCACTTTTCGCTTTAGGATGCTCCAAATCCTGGTACATATCTCAATCCCTGAATTCTAAACCCCCAGGTCTAATAGTGCTTGGTGTTGCGCCAAATTGTCTTACACCATTTTTATGCCGATCGCTCGCTCGCCGGACCCTCCTTTGAAAGTGGGCACTTGGTGCTCGATTCTTGGATCGCAATGGGGAGTTTCGGGGGTTGGTTGGGCTCTTTGATGGTGGGTGTGTTTGGTGTGCACGATGTGGGACATGCCCTCCTCCATCTCTCCGCCCTTCCCCCCTCCCCACCCCAGCGGTCCTCACTTTCCATGCCCCCCGAGGGGATATTCGGGACGCGGCCGGCGGAACTCGATGATGAGAGCCCCGAACCGGCGAACGAACGAACACTCGCGGCTTGTCGTCGCGATCCACCAGTCGCCGCGACCATTCCTCTGTTTTATTGTTTTCCGCGCACCCCGTTGGCTCTTGTCCTCCTCTCCTCCTCTTCTCCGGTCGTCACCCCTGAAATTATAGAGCACTCCCGCGCTTCGGCGACAGCAGAGTCGAGCTTTCATAAATCCTAGTACGGATACCGATAGCCGGTTGGCACGCTAGAAAATTGTTTCGATTTTATTATTGTTCTTGCTGGTAATTTTGAAATTTTAAAGGGATTGCGACATAGTTTTGCGACGATATGGAATTTTTCCAATGGCTTCTGAACATTTGAAATTTTAAGAACCCTTTTAGGTAAATTGCCGACGTTATGGTATCGTTTAAGGCCTTCTGAATTGTTTAGTTTTTATTTATATTTTTCTAGCAATTTTTAAATTTTCTTGAGACTGCTAGGTGGCTATAGACCTTTTTGACGCTATTAAATTTTCTCGAGATTGTTTTTCTTTTGTAGTTTTGAAAAATTTTAAGTGATTTTTGCGGTGTTTTTGAGATTACTTTAGCAACTTCTGTAGACTATAGCGTCTCGAAGGGTTTTCGAAATCAATTTAGAATGCTCTGCTCTTTCCTTTTTTTCCGATTTCCCTGTATATTTTCAAATTTGTTGCTTCCCATCTTTTTACGAATCCAATTATAGCCCAAGCTATTTGCTTTCTTCAAGGGAGGGGGCCCTGAAAACACTTGATAAGGGCCGACACACTCCCGAGACTTTTTGATTTCTGTTAGTACCTTTCCTTCCCAGTTCCCCTTAATCCGTTAATCTCAGCTTCTTCTTCAAATTTTCAGATTTTTTGCCTCTCGTGAGAAAGCTACTTCTTCGATTTTCAAATTTTTCGCCTTTCTGCCTCATCCAATCCATTTCCGGCGCAGGACCAGATGGTCTGATCCCCCTCGTGGCCCCCGCCAAAATAATGTTGCTTCATCCGCCACCGCTGAAAACATCGAGGTTCGTTTTGAACATGTGTATTCTATTTTTACCCCCAAAAAAAAACAGCGCGTACGTCATTTTTGGCGGCTGAACTGATAAAACGTATCCCCTGCGTCTATTTGTGATGGACCTGGGGGCGGCTCGGCGCTGAAATCCGGGCTCTGTGAGGTTCGTGCAAACAGCGTGTTATGTACGGAATGCTTCGAATTCTTCTTTTCACGCCCGGGTTTCTTGCCGGACAATCACTTCCGCGATTTCGGGGCTTTCCCCTCCACCCACCCCGAAGCAGTTGCCCCGAAAAATGCATTCATATGTGGGTGTTTGGTTGGAAGGGGGGAATAGGAGAAGAGGCTGTCGGGACACATTTCGCCTCTATGCATTATAGCGGAGTGTATTTGCAAGGAGCAGAAAAAGGTCCCGTTGGGCCGGGATCTTTAAAAGGTTATTCGAAAAAAAGGGTATAAAAATCTGAGTGCGATGACCAAAAAATAGGGGGATTGAATGCCTGGGGGTGTGAAAAGCGAGAAATAGTTCTTTTCAGCATCTACTATTTAAAAAATAATTTGGTGGCTTTGTAGTATTTCTATAATTTTTTATAATTTGGTCGTAATTGACCGAAAGACCCCTTTTTTAATCCGTCAGTGCAGGGTTGCGTTAACTCGGCGTTTTCTTAGTCGGTTTTACTTACTATTTTTACTTGCTTAATAACTTTACTTTTCGAATGCAGTCAAAAAATAATTTTTATTTTGTAATTTTTTTAATCTATTTTTAAATTTTAGCGTGTTTCTAAATATTGCGGTTACAAAAATACTTCTTAGAAATCTGGTATCTACAAAAAGGTAAAAATCGTTTCAAAGGGATCAGATTTAATTTTTAGATACCTTTCTTAGGACGTCAATTACCGATTTGCCGCTCCCTGCGCTTTTAATAATTGCAGCCAATCCAAATCCCCATTTCCACATTTCCACACTCAACTTCTCCCTACTGCAACTTTCAGCTCTTTCAGTGACTCGTTCAACGGTCAGAGAAGCACCCAGTAATAGCTCACTTATCGGGGAATACGGAGTAACAAATAGGACATTCCCGTTGTCAGTTGTGTAGTTCCTCTTCCCCATCCATCCGTTCTCACTCCCTTGTGTGGTGCCCTGAGGCTATTGTCGGTGTCCGCAGCACCGGCGTAGGGTTGTGGAGTGGTCGAGAGTCAGCCTAGGGTGACTGCAGAGACAGATCAAAGCCGCCTGTAGGTATGTTGTATTGGATAGGAAGGGTGGGGGCCTTGACCGGCTGCAGTGAGAGTCCATAGTTTCGGGCCTTGGACAACCCCTGCCGCTCGTTCCCAGCCTAATTAGACGGATGGGATGATGGCTTTGGGTGGAAAGTGAAGTGGGTGCTTTGATCCAGAAAAATCGGCAACTGAAGGGGGTATCAATAATGTTGGGCAAAAATGGTTTGGAAAAAGCCTAATTTTAGCTGTGTTCTTCCTTAATTCACGTTTTTACTAGTTTTTCAGACGCATCTATCGATAGTTACAGCAAAATTTTATTGGAATAATAACTTTTCACGTTTTCGCTTATAATTCAGCTTCTAACGGACTTGGCTTTCGCCTGTAATTCACCGTTTAATGGACTGAGAATTGAACTTTAGATATCTACGAAAATATCTACCACAGCCGGCTTTAACTCGTATTCACGTAATTCAGATTTTTTGGTTCCTGATGAATTTACGGCCGTTTAGACCGAACGTATGGTGTGGAAACGTATTTTTAGCTGTTTACTGCTGAATTTAGACATTTACAGATTTTTCCACGGTTTTAAGGAACTATCAAGACGAAATTATTTCGGGGAAAACAAGATATTTGATCGTGTTTTATGTTAAACTTTTTTATTTGCTTTTCGGGCTTCCTTTTAGGAGGTTTACGACATAGCTTCGTTTTTCCAAAGATTACGTTTTAGGAATTACTAATTATATGACGCAATGATTAAGGTTTCAACTCTTCCGCATCACCCTCAGCTTTTCCTATCACGCATCCCTCCACTACTACTAGATGCGTGAATCAGCGCGCCCGCGTTCAACTGGTCCGGATTTGTGGCATCATCCCCCGCGCGCCCACAAGTGCGCCACCCGCGAATCATTGCACGCCCCCCTAAAATCTCCATAATTTCAGGGTTAACCCCATTCTACCCACCTCATTTCACCCCCAAAACCCGGGGGTCATCTATTTACCCTCCAACTCCCCCAACTCCCCCAAAAGCTCAGGTCCATCCAGGCGCGCGCGTCCCGCGCTAAAAAGTTTTGTTTACCCTCGCGTTTGCGGGGCCCGCCTTCCCGGGCGGCTTATTAGAAACGGTACACGAGTCGGCGCTGCTCCCCCCTTTGCCTCCCAAAAAAACCCGCGGCTAACTGCCTCAAATTTGCGCTGGTTTCTGGACGCCAACCTGGAGAATTTGGCGCCTGAGCCTACGCGCCCCGCAAGCGCTTCTGTTTGAGGATTACTGTATTTGTTCTGAGGCGCGCGAAGTCGTTATTCGTTTGGCCACCTATTTGACACTAACTATTCGAAACGCGCTGCCACGCTACTGAAGTTATTCGTGAAAATGGCGCCCCTTGACACTCGCCGCCTGAGAAAACATCAGCGGCATCGCCGCGCTGATCTCTTTCTAAAAAGTGCCCCTGATATTCACGGCTGCCGATTTTGAGCCGTCGCCGAATGCTAGATATAGGAGGTATTTTGAAAACGCGTCAGAGTTTTTTTATTTTGGGACGAGATTTAGACTTTTAGCGGTGTTTTTGAACTTTTTTTAATGGGATTTCGGACTCTGCAGATAGATTTTTGTATTTGTTCAACAGAAATGTGTAAAGTTTCTACGTTTAGGAATAGCAAAAAACAGTTTGGAAACATAATGAAAGTACAATTTCCGCGACCGAACACATTTCCTCCTCCACCAAAGACAGAACCCATAGAACATTTTTATTTTCGTCTTCTCCGTCCCTTTAAACAATCCGCAAACCATTTTTTTCGTGGGAAAAGCAGGAAAAGTTGGGCGGCCCTTCCGTGCCGTGAATACTCGATGAAATGGGGCACTTTAGAAGGGGAGGGGGACACACGATTGTTGCCTTTCCACGCACATCGCAGCATTCCCCCCGGCCCGATAGTAGTCCGCAACCACTTGAACTTGTCGAAAATGGTGGCGGGGGCTGAGCGGAGGGTAGCTGGTTTTGCAAATTGTGAAATAGTTTTGGGCTTAGGGTTTTAAATATGAAGCTGAGACCAAAAGAAAATAGAATAAAAAGATACCCTCAAAAAATATTTTTCGTTCTAGTATCCACGCGGAAATCTTTGGGATTTCGAAAATTTACTTGAATTTGTTGAACATGCTGGCCAGAGAATGGCCGGTCTTTTTATGAAAAAAGGCCAGCTAGGGACTTTGAGATTAGCTAGTTTTTGTCTGGATTTATAAACAAGGGGTTTGATAAAAATCATAGAGTATAATAGACCTACAAAAATCTCTTCGTTTCAGTATCCACGCGGAACTGTTCGAGCTCTCAGTGGACGGGAGCAAATAGGTGCTCGTCGAGCCGCGACTACTCTATGTCACACGTCCAAACGGAGTACTATTGACGACAGTACGCGAGTCACCGCCACAACTGCCGCCGGCCGCTCCGTCGTCGAGTCCAAACTATCCAGCGGTAAGTGTTACGACTTTTTTCATTTTTGGCGAGTTAGGTTTTTCTAAAAGCGAGTTGACACGCGATCAAAACAACTCGCGAATTACCGTTGTGGGCTGGCCCTTCGAGACCCTAACAATCCAGAATCAAACTCGCTCTTCTTTCCGGTCCGCATCCCCGTACCCTAGCCGCAAGAAGTAATGGAGTGGTTAGCAAATTGCCGGCCCGTCCGCACGGAATCGAAAAGGCGCCGGAAATTCCCGGTGGGGCCATTTTGGGGGGTGAGCACAGGGTATTTCTCGCCCTCCATGCTTGCCCCCAGGTTTTGAACTATGAGGGCAGGCAATTAAGGGGATATTTTGAAAGGGAATTAAATGGATTAAAGGAGAGGTGGAAATTTGGTTGTGGACTCCCGGCTTCATGGTTCCTTTAAAAAGTTAAAAACTTCCTGAATATCATCTGATTTAGGCTCAAAAGTCGAGCGTATCTCCGAGTGCTTCGTCTTCTGGCGGGACGCGACGCAACGGACGTTGGCCGTGAATACATTGTCGAGCCGGTCAGTTTTTTAATTGGTAGCTATTTATTTTTTCAGTGATGCCGCCGCGTTTGTAGCTGCCGCCTCGCCCCTTGATTCCGTCCATTCGAGTACCGCTGGTTTATTCCAGGTAATTTTAATTAGATTTAATGAGATTTTCGGTATATTTAATTCCTGCTTCTTTTAGTACTTTTTCAGCAATCCGCTACATGCCGAGTCTCCCAAGTTGCCAGTTCGATGGAACGAGAGTGGTGGCAAGGTGTGTTTTGTGAATTTGGGTAGAACATAACCTGGCCCTTCCCAGTCCCTTTAACAATCGTAGCGATCATTTCTGTCAGGTGACCCCTGTCGAGTCTACCCTCGTTGTAGTCAACCCGTTGAGTCTCGCCTTCCACTACAACCATCAGCTGGTCAATGTTGATTTGGTGAGTTTTCGCGGCCTTTTAATCCGCACGTTTTTTTTCAGCTTGAATGCGTCGTTTGTCTGGTACCTCGGATCGTGGATCCATCTCGGCCACGGGCCTTCCGTTTTCCCAGTTCGAGTTTGACCGTGCGGCTCTGCATTTCTTGGAGCAGGTAGGTGAATAGCGTATGGATTCGGTGACTTCATTGCTCCTTTAAAACCGATTTGTTAGATCCTAAACCTCCTCTTAACTCTTGGCTCGAACCACACCAGCCGAGGTGGTGCTCCACCTACCTGCAAAGGCAGAGAACAAAGTTCCACCGAGCGAGTTGGACAGGTACGGTAATATAAATTTATAGTATTCTTTTTCAGTTACGTCTTGATCAAGCTCCACAGCCAGATGGCGGATTTCTGAGGAGAGGGCGCTTCTGAAGGACGCGATACTAAGATGCCGAATCGCGGCGCTTCAACGTGTACATATTCCCGGGTTTGATGTGGGTTTATTTTAATTTTTGCTTTATTTTTATCAGGTTACTTGAACCGATTTCGGCCCGATTGAATTAAAGCACTATTAAAGAACTAAATTTTCGTTTAAAAGAACTCGGAAGGTTAAAAAAGAAGTTAAATGCCAAACAACAAGTGTTGACCCTGACTTTTTGAGGATAATGCATTAATGGCACAGCCTTGGGTTTCGGATATGAAGAACCCCATTTCCCTTAGCCTTCGCCCTTCCGGGTTCGACACAAAGATTTGACCTGACCGCTCCGAATCCACAATTTGTCCTGCGGGATCACCCCGGAAAAGTGCGCGACAACAGGAGCCTACGGGGGTATCCCCCGATGCGAATGGGCGGATTTCCTTTTGAGGCTACCCTCGCCGAACCCCGTAAATTGGGCATGAAGGCCCTTCTCTACTACTCCCGCCCCGAAGTCTCTCTCTCTCTCTCTCTCTCTTCTCTCTCTCGCTCTTTATAAAAAGCCCTGGGCAAGCAGCCATTGCAGAAGGGTGGATTCGGTTTCACACCACCCCCTCTCGTCGCGCCAACTATCAACCATATATGTTGGGGCCCATGTCAACCGTCTTCCTCGGTCCTTTAAAGGGATATTTGAGCCCTATAGTTCACACGGGGTGTGTTTGCGGCCAGGGGGTATCCCTACGCATCTGTACCATGGCCGGGTAAGCACGTCCCATTTAGAATTTTACTAACCAGGTCTGGTCTGCGGATTTTTTGGCGATACACGGCGGCTATGACTAGATTTTTTTACAGATTTTCGCGACAGAAACGGAATTGACGAGCGTTGTCTTTCAATTCCGTACTTTCAAGGTGCTTCGCGGCGATTCAAGAAAGGGAATCCATAACAAAAAAAATCCGTAGCCGACCTTGCTAGCCCCTTTAGAACAAGGCCTTCTATCCCGGATGCGCGGCTCGGTCTATAGATTATCTCTTCCTTCCTTTCTTCTTTTTTTTCTCTCTCTCTCTCTTCTCTCTCGCTCTCCTTTCAAAAAGCCCATAAATCTGCGTACCGCTTATGGGGGTGGTGTCGAGCGGCTCCGCGAGAATATCCAATAAGACTGAACTACCTGGCCCTTTTCACTCGAACACATTCGAAAGGAAGTCTCGTAGTTGCGTTCAGGAGTTTGAACCGCGCTTTCTCTGGATTTGGCATTTAAAGGGACGTGACGGCTATACCTCTTTAACCGGGTGGACTTGATAAATCATGGGTCCCTAGGGTTCTAAAAAGCTTTTCATAGTATCAGCTGCCTTCACAGTTCCTTGGATAAATGAAGTACGCTTCGAATACTTGCATTTTCAGTCACTCTCCGCGCTCCTTGGGCCCCGTGCCCTCAGCCACTCAATATTGGACTGCCCGCTGCCATCCGTCTACGTCGCCTTTGCCAATTTGTACAACTTTAGAATGTGAGTTTTTAATCTTATGTATTTGGACTTTGCACAAAAGATCTCTGCGTGTTTTCCAGAGCAAAATCCTCGCTAAAGCTTTTATTACGCTGCTAGCTCACCTTCACCGCGAAGGCAAATGGCCAACACTTTGAGATCAAAATTAATTCTCCTCTAATACTCTCAGCGAGCCCCAATGGCGGTAACCAGATTTTTTTGTGAATGCCATTGATTTTTAGAACCGCAAAAACCACAAATTAAATTCTATTTTAGGTGGCGTAAATCGAGTGATGTCCGTGCCATCGACCTGAAGGCGTTGGCCGGTGGAGCAGTACGGATTGGAGGCCCTGATGTGAGTTCTATAAATTTTCTTCTCCCTCGCTCTCTCTTTAAAATTTTCTAAAAAACCTAAATGCAAATTCCAGGCCCTAACCCCCGTGATCCAATCCCCGATCGGCGAGCAGAACCCAATGATATCCTCCACAATGTCAAATGAAGTAGTGCTCGGCTGTGCACCTGGAACAAGCAATCCAGCCCGCATCATCCCAATAATTCTACCAAATGGAAAGACAACAATGGTATCGGCCGATTCAGAAGACCCGGCCCTGCTCCTATCCCGTACCACCCAGAAGCTCGGCGTCGATGCCCAGCTGTTCGAGCTGAGGAAGGAGGATGGGAGGTGGAGGATGAGGTTGAGAGATGAGTATGAGGTGGAGAAGAAGAATGGACGACTGGGGCTCACTATCTACGCTCATACTGATAATGGAGTCATCAAGGCTGAGGTGGGAGTTTTTAAAGCGACCAGGAAGGTTGTGGTCCTTACAGGTTCACCTTATCTTTTCCAGGTTCGCGGTGTCGCCTCATTCTGCCCAGGTGGCCCAAGTGTCGGTGATTGGGTGGTGGCTGTAGATGGACTCCTCATTGAGGATGCGGCATCTGCGGCAGAAGTTGAACGACTTCTCCGAGATGGCCGAAGAATCAGGCTGCGCCGTCGTCAACTCGCCGGCGAATTTGAATCCCTACCACAGGTTGTATGATGAATTCGCAGCTAACCTTACCTTGTTTTAGCCAACAACTTCGGCACGTTCGCAGACAGTACCAGCACCTCTTCCCTCATCCCGGCTTCGTCTTGAGGATCGCCTCCACAAGGGCATCCAAGAGCTACTGATGACCGAGCGGAAGTATGTCGACGAGCTCAAGCAGGTTCGTGTTGCTTTGAAACTATGAAAATAAGAATATTTTAAGATGATCGATACCTCACATGTGCATCCGGCCGGTTCGTGATACCATGGAGTCAGCGCTGCGACTCGAGAAGATACAAGAGGCATTCCTCGACAGCCTAGAAGAAGCCATCGGCGACACCGACAAGGACACGGCCACCAAGGAACAAGTTCGGGTATGATTGGCCCGATTTTTCTGATTGTCTTTTGTCGTCTTTAGGACGCCGTGATTCGGGTTTGCGCCCTGTTCGTCAACCGGTGCTCCGACTTCAAAATCTACGCCGAGTACGCGGCTGCGTATCTCAGATTGCAGCAAGAGATCTCTGGGCGCAAGGATGTGCTTGCAGATTGGAGGTGAGCCCGGCAATTTTTGTATGAACGATGAAATTTCCGCAAGGTTTCTGCTAGCTTACTTGTCTACTTTAACTTTTTCAGGCTGCCAACTGTTCTGGGGCCCAGCACTGCTCCTATGAGTCGCGCATGATCAAGCCCGTCCAACGAATCGTCCAGTACCCGTTGTTACTACGTACGGTGGCGGCGGGATGTGAACGCGGAAGTTTGGAAGCTAGACAGGTACGCAGTTGGCTACGGTGTGAAATTCTCCGTCAATTTTTAAGGTAGAAACAGCGCTCCAAAAGATGCAAACCCTCGCCGAATACGTGAACGAGATGCAGCGAATCCACGAGCAGTTCAGCCCGCATATTGACGCCGTGCGCAAGAGTCACGCTGATATGTTGAGGGATAAGGTTGGTTACTGCCTTTCATAAGATTTTATCATTTGTTAGGGTCTTCGCATCGATGTCCGTGATCTGCTCATCTTTGCCCACATACGGTGGCTAAACTCGGATCCGAAGGGATCACAGGTTTGTTTTTTAGGAAATTTAGTTATTTAACGTGATTTTAGGAATACGTGGTGTTCGTCTTCTCGTCGCTGATCTTGCTGCTGCCAAGCGTCGCCCGCCCCAACACAAAAGCCAAGCATTTCCGAGTGCTTCCGATTGTCGAGGTGGAGGTGGTGGAGGTGAGGGAAAAGACGGGCCTGTACATCCATCTGACGGTCTCCTCACACTGGTTCACATCGCCGATCAGGGGCCACGAGCGGCTGATGGCGCGGCGAAGAGCCTTGAGGTCAGTTTTGAAAAGGGACGACGCATCTAAAGATTCCTCTCTAATAAGCCAAACCAGCAGAGTTCTTTAGGGATGACGATAAAACCAGATATCCCTTTAGGCAGCCCTGCAAGATGGCACCCTCTACAGAATCGCTTGCTGCCAACAGCTTCTAAAGCAACAGCTAGTCAAAAGCATCCGAAAAGCCAGGACAACTTATATGTAAGTTACAACGACCAAACCACAAAATAATAAAAATTTTCAGGAAAGAGCAAAAGCGCCCCCTCTCCGGCTCATCCCAAAGCGACGCGGGCTACGCCAGCGAGCCCGGCAAGGAACGGGCCGGCAGTACAAATTCTTGAAATCCTCATCATACATTTTTTTCGAATCCATCCAATTAGTCAGAAACTGACGGGTACCAATATCTCCCTCTATTTGATGTGCAAACTATTCGGCCTAGCCAGAGATGTAATAAACGCCTAACGATATATTAGACTACACACGAAACACATAGAAGATACATAGAAAATTAAACGCGGAGACACGCGAAGAACAACCCGAGAAATGAGACGCACAAAGTTCAGTGTGGGGTTTTTGAGGGCGGGGGGGTACCGATTCGGTCGAAAATGGAAAAATTGTAAAAGGTCAAAGGGATAAGGATTTGATTACATTTTGGGGATTGAGAGGGGGATGAGATCAACGGGGGAATACCAGCGACGTCGACATTGTGGATCGGGGTATATTATGAGCAAGACAATAGGTTTAAAAGAGATAACAAGAGACACGATTCTAAAAGTTCTAGCTTCACACTTGGTTGGCTAACGGGCGGAATGTCTGCAACGTTGACCGGGAAGGCTGGAAGGTGACCATCGTCTGCGAGCGGATCGAGGAGGGGATCAGTGGAGGGATGACTACTAAAAAGGGAAATAGATGTGGACTCAAAAACAAAAATAATTTTGCTCGTACAGCAGCACTAATTTCTCGAAACTAAAAAGTTACATTGCTATTTCTTACCACTCAAGGTCTTTCATTTTTTTTTTACAAAATTCCCGTTGTGGAAAGGTCATTTGCAAAATCCGATTTTCAAAAATAATTTTCGTTAATCTGGTTTACGAAAATATGTATGAAAATCCATTTTAACATCAAGCCACCCCCGAAAAACCACTCACATTCCCCATCCAATCCAGCGTCTAACGGCTCGCTCCCAAATCCGCTCGACGAGGAGTCGCGGCGCGGCGAGCAGATCAGCGGCATCCACGATTTCTGCAAAACAAGAAATTGATGAGCTTTACAAAAGGACTACAAAGTATAAAAATGCACCTACATCGCTCAACGAGGCATCAGTGAGGACATATGTGTGAGGTGGGATTGGTGGAGGTTTGTCGAAAGTTGGTGAGCATCGATTGTCGTCGTCGCTCTCTTCTTCTTCCGCTATCACCGTCAACCGATCGTCGTCTAGCGACGGTTTTCGGCTTTGGTGGGATGGTAGAAGCTGCGATGAGTGCTGCTAAAGATATTATAGAATCAATAGGTCGCAAATATTTCGTTATCACTGAATTACATTCGGCCGAATTTAATTTCGTACCTCACATTTCATCATTCATAAAATTTGGCCAGATGTAATTCGGTGCGATGATATTCAAACGAATGGTTCGTGGAAATTACCTGCTTGGTGAAGCTGCCCCTTTTTCGATTTGGGTGCCCGTGTAGTCTTCTGTAGAGCCGATGGATCACGACGGCCACCAGAATAAAGGCTGAGAGGAAGAAGAGGCTCACCAGCCCACCAGAGACCAGAATTGGAAGAGAAGCGGCTGAAAAAAACACTTAAAAATAAATCCTTTTCCAACCTCTTCCCTCAACATTACAATCCTCCATCTCCGAGGCGCGGAACGTCTCATTGATGAAGCAGTCACGATGATTCGTCCGCACTGTTTCGATGCATGCCTGAAAATAGACGTAAAATGAACCCCTTTCCATCTTTAACATTCTATTCGGGGTTATCTACTCTGTTACGTCACACCCGCCACTCGAAAAAAGCGTAGGTGTCCCCCCGTTGTCAGCGGCCGAAATTAGCAATCAAGAGCCCCATTCAGATTCAGCAGCCACGAGAAAAGGGGGAAGAGCCGGGTGCACCAGAATTCGTCGAATATCTATTATCCGCGGTATCTAGCGCTTTCGTTGATCGCTCTCCCCCTGGCGAGGCGTAATGGGCGGAAGTGGCGCATAATTTGGGTTTTTGCAGGTGGTGTCGCTGCCCCGAACAGCCTTATATCACAAGAATTAACATTTTGCCAGGTTAAAAAAGTGGCGTTATCCCCCCGGAGGAAGTTGCAACTTACTCTCAGGTAGTATTGGTCGGATGGGTGGTTTCCGAGGTGCGGAACGCGGTGAAAATCGACGTCAAGCTTCAGCGGCCAGTGTTCAGTGCCTGGAAATAAAATATAGAGATTGGAAACGGTGACAGGGCAATCCAGCAGATTTTTCGCGAAATTCCATAAAATATAGGGCATAGGTAAACGAATCAACCGTACCAATGTTGCGTATCTCCTGAACGCCGTGCGACTGCGCCTTGAAGACGGATGTAGACGCGACATCGTGCTGAAAAAATTGGGAATTAGGAGTTTCTTTTATCTATAAAATTCTGACCCTTTCATAACCTTCCTAGCATTTGCAACGACGCCGAGAGGCCAGCAAAACGCGGTCAGCAGGGTTTTCAGGGGAATAAAAGAGCCCCAGGGCCATTGTGTTTTGCGGACCTTCTAGCCGCCGTTGTTCCGTGTTTTTCAGATATTTGAATAGGTCCGAAAATTTCGCAGCTGCTGCAACTGCAGTACGAAGACGACTACTAACATGAGAAGACGTCAGGTCACACAGGCTCAGCTAAAAATCGGTGAAACATTATATATCATTTTTGATTTTCGCAGCATTTTCTTGTATTTTTCCATTAATTTTCAGTTCGTTTGACTTGAAAAATCTCTACAGGGCTCCAGCCGCGAAAATCCGCACCCCGCGCACTGTCTCAGATTTCAAATCGTCAGATTCCCAGGGTTCCCTGGCCGCCAAAATGCGGTGCGAGCCCAGCGGGAACCCCTAGACAAGAGCCTCCTTCCCACGCACCACATATTCCGCATTATAACCCCGAGCTACTCAATTGGAGGGCACAAGCACTTCATTACACACCCTCCAAGAACCCCTCACTCTCGGGAGGAAGGGGGCAAATTGGGGCCACTTGGCCCATTCCAATGGCATTCGCGGGTGGAGAAAACTGACTCTTCCCTGGGTCCTTGAGCCCCTAATGCCACGCGCCCAGCTATAGGGGAACATATGGGCTGCACGCGTGTGTGGGGTTGATAAATGAGCTTGTATTTGGAGGGGCATGGGCTTGAAGAGGTATAGAAAACCGGGGAGAATGGCTTTACCTAAAGGCACCTTTAGCAAAAGGTCTTTCAAGACACCGCTCCATTCCTTTTTGGTTATTCCGCATCATTTTGTCTTAGAGACCGGATACTAAGTTTTTTATAGTCTTGTTAGCAAAATTAAACTATTAACGTGCCAAACCCATGTAGACCTCTGGAAATTGGGGTATTTTGGTCGAAAATCGTAAAATTTCGTAATTTTAATAAATTTACGTTTTTACGCTTAAGAACAGCAAAACTTAGCGAAAAAAATTAATTGGATCCTAAGGAAAAAGCCATCCTGCGATATTTCCAAACCCCGCTTTTTCTACCAAAAAGTTTCGCCGATGATGGTCACCGAAAAGATCGACCACGAACCCCTCAAATTAAGGGATTAGTTCCAGCAGCCGCAGCAAGTTCTGCAGACGATTCGACGACTCCTGCAAAAATAATCCCCCGCCCCACACCAAAAAAATGCCATTTTCGACACTCTCCTGCCAGAGAACTTATCAAGCCATCGTACCCGTAAGGAGAATCCCTAGCTTGGTAGAGACCTCCCGTACCTGTTGACTCACAAAAACATCACCAAAACCCGGAGGGGGGCCCCGTACGAATTTGGGGGTGTCGACCCGGGTGGGCCGCCATAATAAGAATGTTGCCGTGGCGGGGACACCTGAATCATATAGCGGCGCCCACCACCAAGCAGGCCAATTCCATTTCGAGCGCGTTATTTATTTTTGATAATGAGTTTTGGGGTGACATTAACGTGAAAGGCCAGTTCTTGAATGACGATTGATGGCTGAGAAAAGCCAGAATTTTTCAAGATTTCCAGATATCTCTAGTAAAGTCATATTCAAGCATTTAAAAGTATTATTAGTAAAGGTAAACTAGTGATTTTTGAAGCGGGAAAAACTATTCTGAACGCTTCAATTGCCAAAAAAAGTTGATATTCTGGTCCAAAACGCACTAATTTATCCATTTTAAAAGCTTTTTAAGCAGAAATAGTAATGTTAGAAACAATTGTTCTTTTTATATAAGAAAAATTTGATCCGAAGCAAAAATGGGAAAGGAAAAACCGCTAAGTATATTAGGTGCTGTTTAGCCCAAAATTTTCGCATGCAACCGTCCCAACAATATTTTTACAGAAAAAAACTTCTGCACACTTTCCGCGACGTTCCACTATTTCCGACCAGTTCCACGATCCACGCACAAAGGGGCGAACCAGCCAGCCAGCCTCCCGATGACCTTATAACAGGCCTATATCATCGGGCCTCCGGGTCAACCATGCGGCAGCAGAGACCTTTGATGCTCCCCGAGAGATCGCATCGATCACCGTCGCGCATGTTGTCGGCCGATCGTAAAAAATTTAGTATCCAGTCAGTGCCTTAGGGGGAACCGCTGCTGGTGATCCAGCCCCTCACGGCTCAACATATGGCTGGCACCAGAAGGAACAATGGGCCAGTTGCCCATACAAAAGTACCTTACAAACCCTGAATTGCCTGGAAGGTGAGCACCAAGGGCGAGGTGCGGTTGTAAAATCCTAAAACCCGGCGAGGTGTGCACTAGCTGCTTGTGTATCCACCTAAAGTTACCACTCCCTTCTGGTACCTCAACGGGCTTCCAAAATATTAATTTTCAAATCTCGCAAAACTTCCCATGGCCCTTAGCAGCCGTGGGCTGATTTCACAGGAAATTCAAAATTTAGCTCCCCCACAGTAGCACCGCGGGGGTTGTTTTCAATTTCACGGTCGTGCGAAATTCCATAAATAATTGACGGGCCACGGGGAGGTCACAAATTGCGACAAGACACCCGAGAAATGCGCAAGCCGGCAATTGTCAGCTGATCTCGGCGAAGGCACGGAACTGGCTCATAAATGGGTAGTTGCTGTGGAAAGCTGCAATTGCAATCTATAGAAAATGAGAGCCAATTTAATCGGTTTTTAAGCGCATTAATCATTTTAACG